GACACCAGGATCTCCTACGGAATGCATCCTTGTTCAATTCCCTTGGCATCTTGCAACAGCTCGAGACCACTTTGTGCTGCTGCCGATCCGTGTCCCCTTTTAGTCGCCTATCGACAGGCGTGGGGTACCTTAGAGCCGAAGCCCGAGAGTGAGATAAGCTCGAGACTACAGGGTTGCTATAATCAGAGACCTGGCAGATAAGTCACTAAGATTCCTGAATTATTTTAATTTACCTATTTCTTTTGAATTTTCATATGTGCAGCGATTAAATTAATACAAAGATAACTAAGATAATAAATTACCTAAGGCAAAATTAATATAGTATCATTAGAGCAAAACTTATAATGCTTAAAATCTCAATTAAATTTATACTAAAATTGTTGTTCAAAGAAGGTAATAACGATTTTTTAGGATTTTTATACTGGCAACTTCTAGAAACAGCAATTTGTTATAGCTACAGTACATAATTCAGGCAACCCGTTTCCTAGTAATATCCACCCATCCCACCCTTTGAGCAGCTACGGGGAAATGCATGCATCAATAAACCTCGTTATTCAAAACTCCCTGTGTGGATATTGCTGAGCGCGAATGTAACTCAATTTTCTACGCGTCCACTCTCCCGGGCGCACTTTAATTTCGCCTTCGGGGTTTGTGCAAAACAACGTTGACATGGATTCAGTTGTGGTCATTACGCAACTAGCTAACGCCCTGCGTGTGTTTTAGCGCGATTGTATTTTTGTTCGAAGCAAAACCTCTTTAGGCGCTGCTGAGGGGTAACTGAATTCTGTACAAAAAATGTTTTTTCAGGAGCGTAGTTAACGCACGCGTTGCCGCCTTTTTTTTTTTCAAATTTATATAGAAGACTAACGTATAAAGAAAACCGCCTCATGTCAGTTTCGCCCTATGTCCAACATAGTATCACAATCGAATTCATTACTACATTTGTCTATGTTTTATTTTATACCACTTTCTTTACGATAAATGCTCAAGATCGTAACAATCAAACCTTACGTTACATACTATTTGAAATTTTTAGGAGTTAAACAAATACATAAAGGGCCACTCTGTGATTTAAGGTAAGAGATCCTTATCTCTATGCATCTCCAAAAAATACACCCGCTTCTATATTTCTGTCTCTTTCAAATGAAAACGAAGCAGCCGAGGCATACGCGCGACAAAAGCTTTTGAATGTCACTGAATTTGCGCGCGTTGTAACACCGTTTTTGTTTTGTACTCTGGTTTGCCAATGCGATGTATTGTCTCATGAGTGCTAGTATGTAAAATACCGAGCCGAAATAAAAATTTAAAGATCCTCAAACATATTAAGGTATCACTGTTTTTATTATGATCTTCTTTGCATGTCGATGAATAATAAACTTTTTTTAATGTGGGTTCGATCGGAAAATATTGTGCGATGAACGTGATGTTTTTTCAGTGTCTGGGTGTTTATATATTTTTAATATGTATTTATATACAAAAGAAAAGTATGTTTATCATTTATCTAGTACTCAACCATCTAGTGTCCTAAAAATATTTATTTATTATCATGACACAATTCAATAATACAAATGCTTTATAGGAGAAGAAATGGTTTTAAAATAAAACAGTTTCTATTGTGGGGAATTCATTGTTATACGCGTTAAAAGACGATAAATCGTTTATCTCTACTTATATTATTAGAGCCTTAGTTGATAACGCATGTATGTGCATTTTGAGGACTGGTGGCACTGTGGCGCTCGATTTCAATTCGGTACTGCAGCAATCTATGTTGAAATTGTATGATGTTTTGAAAGTAAGAGTAAGGAGTTTAAAAGTATCGATTTCCCTTCGCTCGGCGTTATAGAAAACATCGTGAAGAAACCTTCCAATTACACCTAAATAATATTTCTCATTCCTTCGAATTTCCCCAAATCGCGCACTGGGGTCACGTTGCGGACTATGCTCTAATTGACAATAAAAATTACTGAGTTGTGTCATTCTGTAATTCAGTATCATTCAAAAAGGAAAAGTAAAATCCGGCCGCGCACGAACGTTCCGTACCATTATTTATAAAAAACGGCAAAAACAATATCATGTCTGTTGTATGGGAGCCCCACTTAAATATTTTCTAATCTGTGTTTTTAGTATTTGTGGTTATAGCGGCAACTGAAATGAATCCACTGAAAATTTCAATTGTCTAACTATCACGATTCATTACATACAGCCTGGTGACACACGGACAGACAGACAGACAGCGGACCCTTAGTATTAGGGTAACTGTTTTACTGTTTGGGTACCGAACCCTAAAATGGTATTCGTTTTGTCCTGTGCATGAGGTAACCACTTTTTGAAAGGTGGACAACGCATGTACTACTGCAACAGCAATACATACTATAAGTTGAATCGCCTGTTCATTCACAACTTTCTTTTTGAGAATATTTGCACCAATTTCTTACCACAATATGTCTTTCATTTATTAAAAGAGAGCCTTCATAAATTTACCACGTTTATTGATCCGCTTGATGTATTTAGAGATGTCCCTTGGTGACATTAAACTTAACAAAGCCGAAACCACCAGCAAGTTTCTAATTTTACTTGCATAAATTTGATGATATAAGGGCATCTCACCCCTAGCAGCGTGGGAGGAAGCGGGGGCATTATCTGTGTACCTCTTTCTGGCAACTGTTTGATGTTAAAGAGTTTTCGATTCCTTAGGAATTAGTAGATTTCTTGTAAGATGATTGAAGGATAATTTGCTTACAAACCCGTCGATGCTGGCAGATTTTTTCGCTCTAAAAACTTAAAAAAATTAGGATATCTCAGATTAGAAGAATCGGTGTTGAAACACCTTCAGTGCGTCAAAGCTCACACGGGACTATAATTTGTCTGCCCCCCACAGTGTTCCGGATGTCGGTTTTTAAAAAGTAAAGGATAATGTTATCCTACAGAGAGGTGACAGTTTTCTTTAATTAAAGAACAAAAGTATGTGGTATAACTTGGTAACCGTTTGTTTTTAATATTACAGAAATGGATAAAACTATCTATAAATATAATTTAATTGAAATAGATACATACGACAATACACAAGTTACGTAACAGAAGTTTTCACTCATTTACATATTTATTGTAGTTACTTAAAAGCGAATAATCATATACGACCTTGTCGAGAATCCTCTGAGAGCTTTTGTGACGTTAAGTGATTCATGGTAAACAATGAATTACATAAGACCAAATTTTCATTTTATTACACGAGAAAGTATTAAGAAATGGCAGCCTATTACTTTTTTCATGTCCTAATTCCACTGTAAGCGAATTGTTTTTGTCATTGTCTTAGTAATAAGCTGACTTTAAGCTTTAATAAAATCCCGTGGAAAAAGTTAAAGTTTATCTTGCCGAACAACCAAGATCTTGTTCATCCAATATTCGTTTTAAGATTCCTTTCTATTTAATCCGTTATATTTTCCGATATATATGTTACTACTACTATATAATTAAAAAAGGGAACTGTTAATAAGAGTAATATGTTTGAAAAAGTAGTAACCGTACTACATCTCAAAATTGGTTGACTTTTAACCCACATTAACGAGTATGTATATATTATATAGTATCCTAGTTTGTGCTTCTTTTTAAATTTGATGCAAACAGTTTAAAAGCCCTTAAATTCTCTGAAATGCTTCATAAAGAGAGCTTTAGAAATATTTCGTTAAATATTTTCCTAAATCCCGTAATTGAATTTCGCGGAACCGTTTGGATCGGTTAAAATATTTGAAATCTACTTTGGTTTCAATATTACATTTTACTGCAATGGGCTGTGGTTTTACGTTATGCTTGTATTTGTGGTTTACTTGAATGTGATGGTGGGGATAAATACCGAAGGTCACTTTTATATTTATATGCCTATATGTATGATATAATACTTAAACTGCCGATACAATTTATTTAGTTAACTTTTTAAAAAGTGTTGGCATATCTATGGTCTTTTCGAAACCATAAAGCGATTCTAAGACATGAATAATAGTAATAATAATAGGGTTGATCCCAGTAAGCCTCTCCGGACATCTGAGGCGATTGGGACTCCGGGACGGAACGCTCCAAGTTCTAATGCAGAAAGCGGTGCTCCTCGATAACCGCCCGCATCGTCCGCCGGTTTCTTTCCCTTTCACCCTAACCCTCGGCCGTTTGGTGTACCCTGCCGAGGGCTTCCGTCTGGTTGGTTCCTATTTATATCTGTATTATACAATATTTATATCTATACGTTTATTTTTATTCATAATATTTATTTTATATATGAAATATATATCTCTGTTTATTTTTTATCTATAAACCCAACCAGACGAGAAACAAATATCCCCAACGTAATAATAATTATAATAAAGCCTTTTTATTTCCTATCAGAAAAAATAAGAAATCGACTAAAAATAAAAAATAAAGAAAGCAATGATCTGGAATCGAAAAAAAAGTAAAAAAATAAGTATGTAAATGATCGTGATACGAAAATCGCTGGAGCCGTTTCCGACATTCCGATTATATATATATATATATACAAGAATTGCTCGTTTAAAGGATAAGATAAAATAAAGACCAAGACCCGTTTCAAGAATCTAATCCATAGTCCGTGGTCACTCCGCGGAATTATTGCCCGGGTATTATTGGCCTCGGCAACACAAAAAATTAAAATAAATCATTACTATCCTTACTTCCTTATTATCCTTTCAATATTATAAAGGCGAAAGTTTGTATGTATGGACGGATGTTTGTTACTCTTCACACAAATATAATAGATTTTAATAAAACTTTACAATAATGTAGTTTATAAATCAGAATAACACATAGACTATAATATATAAAGATATTGTGTGAATTGTCCAAAATATAGGCCATGATAAGTGTCAACTAAGTAGTGTATAACAGAAAGCTCATTGTTAATTCCCTTTGGTCGCGCGGGTGAAGCCGCGGATAACAGGTAGTCTATGGGGACATGTCCGCTACCAACCGAGTAACGATATCGCGTCTTATTGCAGAGTGCCCACGAGCAACTTCACGGTCAACGACGTGCGCATGTGCGTTGGTTCACGGCGACTCCTCGACGTGATGGACGTCAACACGCAGAAGAACATCGAGATGACAATGAAGGTGAGTCTTTTCGAACAGTGTGGCTAGGTCTTCGTGCGAGAAAGGGAAAAGGTGCGAAGAAAAAAAAACGGCCAAGCGCGAGTCGGATTCACGCACGAAGGGTTTATAAAACGGCAGAAAAAATCACGTCTGTTGTATGGGAGCGCCATTTAACTGTTTTTTACGGTGGTAGGGCCACTTTACAAATACTTTCGCGTTTCGTCTGGTGAGTGAGGTAGCCGGAGCTCAATTTTCAAAAGGTTGTCAACGCATCTGTAACCCTCGAGTGTAGCAGATGTCCATGGGCGGCGGTATTCACTTAACATCAGGTGAACCGTCTGCTCGTTTGACAACTTTTCGCATAAAAAAAAAAGATAAAAAAAAAAGTATTTGTTGCTAAAGCGGCTACAGAAAATTTCAACTGTCTAACTATCACGGTTCATGAGATACAGACAGACGGATGACAGACGGCAGACAGACAGCGGAGTCTTAGTAATAGGGTTCCGTTTCATCCATTGGGTACGGAACCCTAATTACGCCCCATTACTGAGGGTCGACAGTTATAAGTATACTAACGTACCCGCCCCGGCTTCGCGCGGGTACAATGTAAATACATATAAACCCTTCCTCTTGAATCACTATCTATTAAAGAAAACTGCATCAAGATCCGTTACGTAGTTTTAAAGATCTAAGCATACTTAGGCACAGACAGACAACGATGACTTTGTTTGATACTATGTAGTGAAATTCCATTATTTATAAGTCTTTGTATAAAATTCATGTAAGAAGAACGTTTTAAAATGGATACCTCTGTGACTCACTCGTCTCTGAAGGAGCTTGCAAATTTTACAAAAGTACCGGCTGGAGTTCAAGGTAGTGCGGGGTAGAACCTAAAGGATTTACACCAGGCCCTTACGGATAAATGTGGCGTGTACTTTGTATCCTCAGGGACCCAGCGGGATATTTTTACAATATAATATTACAAGTAGGTATTTCTTACAAGAGCCTTGCATACCTTTTACTAAAAAAAAAAAACTGAATAACTTAATAATGCACTTCGGTTGAAGGAATGAGACAAAATGAATAAATTGTTTTTAAAAATTAAAATACACTTTGTTGGCGTTTTTCTTTATTTTTACTCGAGAGGCATGAGGCATAGTGAATATATTTAATTTGCCTCTTTACTTTTCATCTCGATCACACTTTAATAATTAAAATTATAAGTTAGTATACTATGTACATTAGAATATTGTACATATTATGGTTTTTACGTATAATACATTGCACCCGTGCTAATTGCGTAATTAATTTTCATAGATATAATTTATATTATATTTATTGACAAGCAGAAAATATTGCAAGTTGTTGATATCCGCCGTGATAGCTCAGTGTCCGGGCGCTCGCCTTTAATTCAATATACTCGAGCAACCTGAGTTCGATCCCCGGTGCCGGCACTAATGAAGTTTTTTAACTTTAAGTGCTGACTTATCACATGCTCCGCGGTGAAGGAAAACATCGTGAGGAAACCTGCATATTTTCGAAATAATAACAAAAAAAATATATATATTTCGAAGATATGTGAAGTCCGCCAACCCGCAGTGGGGCCGCGTGGTGGACTATGCCCTGATACCCTCTCTATAGAGGAGGCCTTTGCCCAGCAGTGGGACATGTATAGGCTGTTACTTTACTTTACTTTTTTTGATATCCGTTCTTCGTTCCACATCTAGGCAAGTCTGTCCTGTGGGTGCATGTTGCGATGTACAATTTAAAATAACATTAGGTGCTCGGTCGACATCTTAGATATACATAAACATATCAAATTCAACATATTGTAGTTTAAGCATTATCTTATGCTCTACATTTTTAAACATTCACAAAGCAAGATTAAAAACCAATTAGTTAACCAACTTCAACAACAAAGTTAAACACTAGATGAATGTTATAAATAGTATTTATGACTAATAAAATTTAAAACAGAAAATACATAGCTGTCTTTACACATCTTTCTGCTCAGCTTAACGGAATGAAATGTGATGTAACGATCAAAATTCGAAAGTTGGAGACGTTCGCATAAACAAGCTTTGAAGATTTGTTTTACATTATAATGAATAAAGTTCATGAAATGGTCACGTGTTGATTGAAGTGCATATTGCGATAGTAAGGAAACTTATAGCTTTAAATGGTCAGAATATTTGTATGAAGATATCTTAAACTTCAGATTCATTTTCATCTAACTATGATGTTTCAAGTATAAACATTTTATATTTATTAACAAAATAATTTTAATTCCTATTCATTACGGAAATTACAAATCTGAAAGCATAATGAGGGAGAAGACCGCCATTGTAGCCATGCCATTAGGCATTAAGTCCGCCCATTGTAGCTTAAGGTGTAGCAATGAAGCTTAAATGAATAAATAAATAAGACCGGTGTGAAGTGGAAGTGTACTTCTGCGTTTCGTCTGGTAAGTGAGGTAACGGTGCCCACTTTATTAAAAGGTGTCAACGCATCTGCAACACTACGGATGTTGCAAATGTCACAAAAAGTGTCAAATGGGCGGCGGTTTTCACTCACTGTGAACCGTCAGCTCACTCTTCGCCACCCTTTCACTAAAAAAATGATGGTAATAACTGACGATAGATGCAGAGACAAGTCCTCTCCTTGCTTTCTTTCTTCATTGTAAAGGTCACAAAGCATATGAATGAATTTAAAAGAGACAAAACATTCTGTTAGAAGGAGAGGCTTGTAATGCGACGCTATGGCGCGAGTTGTATAGGATGTTACAAATTTTATTTATTTTTTACTTAATTAGTTTGTTTTAAAAATATTTTTTTTAATTATGGATTTTGTTTAACGTTAATATTTTTTTATGATTATTGGCAAGTAGCGTTAGACGTGTGTTCATTTATTGTCGCGATGGTAACGACGACGACGAAATGTTACTTTTCAAAGTTTAAAAAGTTCCATTTTAATCTGTATATTTGAGACAAGTATATAAATCATAACTAAAGCAGTAAAATGTATAAGTTTATGTACATGCTTTGACGCAGGCAGAAATGTTCAGGCATACATAGATTTAATGAAAGGCTTATTCATAGATACGTCGATTCGAAATCCTATTTTGCACACTAGTTTTGAAAGTTATTTTTCAGAAATTGCAATTAATGTTGCACGTTAAAATCCTCTCCCATTGATGCAATTAATGTATTAAAAAATAATGTTACCTATTGTCGACAAACGTTTAAATTTAATCACATAGATACTAATGATATTATAAAAGTTTTGAATTCTATTAATCTTAAAAATACAGGAGATTTGTGGGGCATGTCCATAAAATTAATGAGTACAATAATGCCGTATATTACACCATATTTGGCAAATATTTTTAACAAATGTATAGATTCTGGAATATTTCCAGATCTTATGAAATTCAGTAAGATAATCCCCGTTTTCAAAAGTGGGGATAAAAATGATCCAGGAAATTACAGACCTATCACCATATTGCCATCTCTGAGTAAAATTTTTTGAAAAACTAATTTTAAATCAACTCTTAGTACATTTTAATATGAACAAAATTTTCCACAATGAGCAATATGGATTCACTAAAGGCAGATCGACAACGGATGCGAGTGTCGCACTTGTCAAGCATATTTATAACGCCTGGGAAAGGTCACAAGATTCAATGGGCTTTTGCGACCTTTCAAAGGCTTTCGACTGTGTAGACCACGAAACCCTCCTTCAAAAGTTAGATTATTATGGCATTCGTGACATCGCCCTCAATCTCATTGCCTCTTACCTTAATAATAGAATTCAAAAAGTATCTATAAATGATGTAAATTCCACAGGGTCCCCCATGAAAATGGGTGTCCCACAAGGATCAATCTTGGGTCCATTATTATTCTTAGTGTATATAAATGATCTCCCCTTTTATGCCAGTGAGTTATGTGATGTTGTACTGTTTGCTGACGACACATCGCTAATTTTTAAGGTTGACCGAAACGTGTCGGATTATGACGACGTGAATAGTGCACTTTCGCGTATCCTCCACTGGTTTACCGTTAATAATATGGTGTTAAATGCTAAAAAAACTAAATGCCTTCTTTTTACCCTTCCCAGCGTAAGAAGGCGAAGTTTTGGCTTAACATTAAATAGCGTAACCCTTAATCCTGTTGAGTCCGCTGTATTCTTGGGAATTACAGTGGATTCAAAGCTCCAATGGAGTCCCCATCTATCATCTCTTGCGAACAGGTTAAGCTCCGCTGTTTTTGCAATTAGGAAGGTTAGGCAGCTATCAGACATCGACACTGCCGGACTTGTTTATTTCAGTTATTTCCACAGCATCTTGTCTTACGGCATTTTTTGTGGGGTAGTGCATCTGATATAAATTCTATATTTATTCTTCAAAAAAGAGCTGTCCGAGCAATCTATAACATCGGAGCCCGGAATACACTCAGAGACCTTTTTAAAGAGATTAATATACTCACTGTTGCGTCTCAATATATTTATTGTAATATTTTGTATGTTAAAAATAATATTAATAGTTATCTAAAGAATACTGACAGACATAAACTAAATACTAGAAATAAGGACAAACTAACTACGCCATTGTTTCGTTTACAAAAAGTAAACAGGTCGGTGTGCGCATGTATAATAAAATCCCACAGTCGATATTAAGTCTGCCACTTGATGAATTTAAACGAAAAATTAAAAGTAAACTTATGGCTAAAGCCTATTATTCTATTGCCGAATATCTTGACGACGCCAATGTGTGGGGTTAATACTGTTGATACTCACGTAGGCTAAAACAAGACTATTGTACATGTACTATTATATTGTAAACTGATTTTTTTAAAAAGAGCAACTGTTGAGTTTCTTGCCGGTTTCTTCTCAACAAAAACTGCTTTCCGAACCGGTGGTAACTTACGAACGTGTTAATTTCTTGTTAAATTTTGACGTTTCATAAGAACGCGCTAGAGTCTATGTGAATAAAGGTATTTTATTATTATTATTATTATACACTA